TCTACAAAGCAAGTTCCAGCACAGCTAAAGCTGGTACACAGAGAAAACTCTATCTAAACAAACAAAACAGAGTAGCTGAAGAAGCTGGAGAGATACCTCAGCAGTTGAGAGAGCGTGCGACTACTAGCTCAATACCCATCAGCACCTCAGTCCCAATCACTTGTAACTGTAGTTCAGGGGATCCTCCTCTGGCAACCATGACTCAGATGTATGCACACACAGATATACATAGTTCTTTGTATGATCGTTTTCTTGTTTCTCTGTGTAGCCCTGGCCTTCATGGAACTCACTCTGCAGTCCATGCTGGTCTTGAACTAGATTCACCAGCCTCTGCCTCCCCGTGAGTGTTGGAATTAAAGGCATGAGTCACCACTACCCAGCTTCACATATTTCTTTTTAAAAGTAGTTGTGATGATGGTAATTTGTAAACTCAGAACTCATTACTGAATCGACAGTATAGAAAGCTCAAGGCCAGCCTGGGACAATTAATAACAGACTATCAAAAATGAATAGAGATTAATTAATTAGTTTTATGGGTAGAACAAGAAAAAAAATCATCTTAAGTGAACTAACTTGCAACCCAGAAATGATCAGATATAAACTATAATCAAGGTGTTTATCTGTTAGTCAGTAGCCAGGTGTAACTATCAGAAAACTAAAGGACAACCTGTATTGCCCCAGAGCTCTGTCATAAAAGCAGAGAACACATTACAGACAACAAATATTTGTTCTTATAAAAAACAACGAATAAAATTCTCCTTTCGTGTGGCCCTGCAGGAAGGAGAATGCTTCCTCCAGGGTGAGGGTGGAATAAATGGAGGAAGGGTCATCAATTTATTTGGAAAAACTTAGATAAGCGCCATGTGTTGATACATGAAAGAATGAAAGAACTAAGGGCACATTTTGAGAAAAATATAATTTATCTTGTCATAAAACCTGACAACAGCATATTCTTAAAGGAATTTAAAACCATAAAACATATAGGAGCAAGACAGATGGCTCAGAGTTTAAGAGCATTGATTGCTCTTCAAGAGCTCCTGAGTTCAGTTCCCAGCAACCACAAGGTGGCTTATAACCATTCTTAATGAGATCTGGTGCCCTCTGCTGGTGTGCAGGTATACATGCAGACAGAATACTGTATATATAAATAAATAAATCTTTTTAAAAACTGTGGAAAAGGAGAACACTCCTCCACTGCTGGTGGGAGTGCCAACTCATATAGCCACTTTGGAAATCAGTATGGAGATTTCTCAGGAAAATGGGAATCAGCCTACCATAAGACCCAGCAATTCTACTTTTAGATATATATCCAAAAGATGCACATCCATACAGCAAGGACACCTGTTCCACTATGTTCATTGCAGCATTATTCGTAATAGCCAGAAACTGGAAGCAATCTAGATGCCCCTCAACTGAAGAGTGAATAGAGAAATACACAATGGAGTATTATTCAGCGGAAAAAAACAATGTAATCTTGAGATTTGCAGGCAAATGGATGGCACTAGAAGAAACCATCCCGAGTGAGGTAACCCAGTCACAAAAAGAGAAACATAGTATGTACTCACTCTTATATGGATTTTTAGACATGGATCAAGGGAGTGTCAGCCTACAATCACACTGCCAGAGAGTCTAGGAAACAGAACCTTCTTTCAATGGCTGATGGAAGCAGAGGCAGACAGGCACAGCTAAACACGGAGCTGAACTCAAGGATCCCAGTGTCAGAAAGGGAGGACTAATGAGCATAAAGGTCAAGACTGGGCTTGTTTAACACACTGAAACAGCTGACCTGAACAAGGGGGGAGCTCTTGAACCCCAGTCCGATAGCTGGGAATCCAGACCTCCTGATTGTGGTGTCAGTGAGGAGACCTAGGCAATCTATGGGGCCTTGGGTAGTAGATCAGTATTTATCCCTAGCATACAAATGGACTTTGGGTGTCCATCCCACAATAAGAGATGCTCTCTCAGCCTGGACTCTTAGAGGAGGCCTAGGCCCTGCCCTGAATGAAATGACAGACTATGAATACCCCCATGGAGGGACTCACCTTCCCTGGGGAAAGGAATGTGGATTGGGGGGGTGGGAGGATTGGTGGGAGGGTGTAGAAGGAGGGGAGAGAGAGGGACCTGGGATTGAAGCAACCTTGTTTCTAATTTAAATAAAAAACAAAAACCATGTAACAGGACCTAAAAATTGACGAAGTACTGACCCTGTTGGAAAATGTATGAATCATGTACCGTGGTGGTCTAAATTAGAACCCCCCCTCCCTCAGGGTCTGCACGCTTGGTCCCCAGTTGATGAACTGTTTTGAAAGGATTAGGAGGTGTGTCTTTGTTGGAACATCTGTGTCACTGAAGATGGGCTTGGAGGTTTCAAAAGTCTGCATGTCTCTCTCCTTGCACATCAGGATGTAAAGCTCTCAGCTACTTCTCTAGCACCATGGTCAGAACTGATCAAGAATTAACCCTGTGAAACTGTATGCAAGGCTCCAAGTAAATGCTGTCTTTTATAAGACTTGCCTTGGTCATGGTTGTTACTTCATGGCAATAGAACAGTGATTATGACACTTATTAACAAGGCAAGTAAAATTTCAAATTCCCAATGTAGTCATCAATAAGTATTAAATCATATGTAAGAGGGAGCGCAGGGCCAGGGCTGTAGCTGAATGGTAGAGCTCTTTGCCTGCTTGCATGGAGTCCCGTGTCTATCATGATGACAATCACAATGACGGACATAGCATTTATACTGTAAAAATCTGAGAATTTTAAGCAACTTTTCTTGTTTACTTTCCTTTGTTTGCTTTTGACTTGGTCTCTCTACATACCTCTGGCTGTACTGGAACTCACTGTGGAGACCAAGCTGTCCTGGAACTCACAGAGATCCTAGACCTCTCAATGCTGGAGTTAAAGATGTGTGCTACCACACCCAGCTCTTTAATTTTTTATTTCATTTTATATGTGTTTATTTCATTTTTATTTCATTTTGCCATATGAGAGAAGTGCCCAAAGAGATTGCCGAGTACTCCGGGAATGGTGTTACAAATGGCTGTACAAATCTGCAAGTGTAGGTGCTAGGAACTGATCATGTCCTTTGGAAAAAGCTGTCGGTGCGCTCCTGCCCCACAAATAAATGGAAAATTTATCAAAGTTCACAGGAGATCTTCAATGCTAACCGCTTATAAACCTGATTCTGTACCAGTATCATTAGGAAATTTTCAAATACAGAGAAAAGGAAATATACATCCCAACTAGATAAATAAATGCATATAATTAAACTCTAAGATCCTCTCCTCGTGTATCTCAAAGCTAAAGTATCCATACTGGATACAATATGCCCTGTGCTAAAATCAAGAAATAGGCACTTCACAAACAAACACTGCTAGCGTTTGTTCTCATGTCCCCAGGAACCATCTGTACCATCTTCTCATATTTTTCCCCTCACTCCTAATGTACAACTGAATCAGAGGGTCATTTTAAAAGATGCATTCACTTAAGTACTTTATAGAATTACACAGTGCTGGCATGAATAACATACAATTAGACTGAGGCCAACTTTAGCAATGTAAAAACCAAAACAAACAAGCAAACAAACAAAAACCTTCACAATTTTGGTTCAAGGCTAAGAATTCAGAAAACACACTGGTACAAAGTGGGGAAAAATTCAACTAGCAATAAATCAAGGACATTCACCCTTTAAAACTCATGGCCTTTTCACCATATTTTTAATAAAAAAGAAAGTAAACACCATTTAAACTTGTACTTCTACGGAACACAAAGAGCTAGATTCAATGATATATAAGTCAAAGAATGGTATAATAAGCTATGATTTGGGAAGTAGGTTTTCTGGATTTTCTTTCTTCTTTTATTCCCCGTAATATGCTCCAAACTCAGCCTGCTTCTGTCAATAAGCCCACCTTACATTTGAATACCATGTCACCTAGGTTGAGGGTTAATTCTATGTAATAGTTTAAATTGTCAGAATAATCTGGGAACCTAGAGTATTTTTTCTAAGAAAAGTGACTTCTCCAAGAACATTTATATTAGCACAGTATCAACACAGAAGCCAGGTAACTTTATTTCCCCCCCCAAGGGGAAACCCTCATGACTATTTGAGGCTAAGACAGGGCTTTCTCCAACTATTTTAATACACAACTTTAATATACAGTTTGCTCCATTCTAATCCAATTAAATACTAGGTTATACATGGAATAAAACAAATAACTTGGCTATAGAAATGACTACAGAAGTACAAATTTAATAGTCCAAAATGGATGGTCATTATCATCATATAAATGAATATCTAATAATATCAGACACATAGTAGTCCATTTACAGGCACAAAATCCATTAGTGTATAGTTCAAACAAGTAGTACTTTTTTAACATGTAAAATGAGCACCAAAAATAATTTAAGAACATTACGAAGTCTCTAAAAATGTTAGGATCCAATCTTGTAAAAAGCCCCAGTCTTAGAGCTGGTTTCCAGCTAGATGTAAAAGTTCATTATCCCAACAGAAACAATAGATTAGTAATGTAAACTTGATGGTGTAATACATCCACACAAGTAAGTGGGTGAATTTCCTAACCTTACTAAAATATAATCTCATTTAGAAAACTTTCATTAATATTCACATCTGTCAAAATGTGGGCATTATGTTTAAAAGCCAATCATGTTGGCAAGAGCCAAGAAAATCAAACTGTACAACCAGACAATGCCAGGAAGCAGAAAGTGTGAGTGAGTGGAGAAGTCTGGTTTTCATTAGTCAGTACCAGTTTTCACAACTTGTCACTGCTTAGTTTCTTATGTTGGGTGTGCGTACATGACTGTGTGTGAGCATGCTTGTGTGCACTCTGAACTTCATACTAACTCAGCTGCCATTGAGTCTCACGTGGACTGGAAATGAAGGACATAATCAAAAACACACAATGAAAAAAAGCACGTTCCAGTTTTATTCATTCCACCCTTTCTAAGGCAGATGTGGAAACAGCATCAAGCTTGAGTCTTACCCTGTTCGCTTGGTGATGGTCCCCAATGTCATTGGCTGTTTGATTTGTGCAAGAGGCATGACTACCATCAGGCTGGGGAGAGGAGAAAGTCGGGGATTGCCGGGATTGTTGTTGGTGAAGTTATTGTAAGAGTCTTGGCTGTTCAGCTTCCCTATAAGAGAAAAGCAAACCAAAGGATCACTGATGGAAACATCCCTCCCTCTGAAAGGTTTTCATTTAAGAAAGCTATCAAGGGCTGGGGGAATGACTCAGTGAGGAAAGGGACTTGCTCCAGAGCCCAACAACCTGAGTGGTCTCCAAAACCCTATAACCTGTCATCTGATCTCCACACAGATGCAAATAAATAAGATAAATTTTAAAGGATATTGATACAAGTATAATTAAAGTTCATAGGCACTGGAAGAAACCAATGTAATGAGGTCATAGAAGTGACAATAGTGACTTAAGTGGCAGTTTTAAAGATTTTACATGGACTTTGTTTTCACTTTGTATGTGCCTATGCACACGGATATGTGCATGAATGTATACACACATGGAAATGTCAATGCCAGGCATCTTCCTCTTTAATCTAAGATAGGGTCTTGGACTGAATCAGCTAAGACTGGTCTGTGAGTGCTAGGGATCTTTCAGTCCCCAACACTGGGATGACCCATCTGTGCTACTGAACAAGGCTTTTTACATGAGTTCTAGTGACCCAAATTCAGGTGTTCACACTTGTGTGTCAGCCCTCAGAATTCTTATGTTTCTAAAATAGTGTCATTTTCTACTCATCCTTAGTTGTTCTGTCAAAAAATTTTTTTACTATTTTATTTCCCCTGTATTTCTAAAAGAAGCCATTTGGTCTTTTAATCGCTGTTGAGTTGAATCTTTGACCAACATAAGAAGTGTGGATAGTCTTCCCTACCAATCCACATCTACAGAGTCAAATAATAGTAAAATAAAAATATTGCCTTGGGGAAAGAACTGCAGAAAATTTGAAGTTGCAACGCAATGAGCACCACTGTCAATGTCAATGGAGCAGTGTCCAAAGACCCTGTGGTATGCTCCTACAATTTCAATTTCTCTTTAGAACTGTTTGTGCATTGTGCAGTTAGGCCAAGAGGCCTATGATGACTGCATCAATCCTTAAATTTGCCATGCAGCTCTGAAAGGTAAGAATGGCATCTAAATCCTATCAGGAAGACGGTGACATCCCAAGCAGTATATGACTAAGGAAATGTTACTTCTCAAGGACACAGGTCTATCTGTTTATATCACTGCCTGGAATTAACAAATTAAGCTAAAGTAGAGCAGATAAGAAACCCACTCTTAGCCAGGCTGTGGTGGTGCACGCCTTTAATCACAGCACTTGGGAGGCAGAGGCAGGCAGATCTCTGTGAGTTTGAGGTCAAGCCTGGTCTACAGAGCAAGTTCCAGGACAAGCTCTAAAACAATACAGAGAAACCCTGTCTCCAAAAACAAAACAAAACAAAACAAAAAACCCAGGCACAATAATCTCAAACTCCCCATACTAACCAATTCCAATTTTATTAGAACCAGTAGAAGCTATTCACCCTTATTGCTGGGATATAACAGGCACCAGTTACAACGCACACAAAATGCCTTAGTCTGGTCAATTATACATATGCATACAATATTATACATACAAAACATAGAATGTTATAGAAAAAAGAATGAAATAATAAAAGAAAAAACCTATTAATTCTTGGGTCACTCAGAGTGATTTATATTCTCAAGGTCAATACAGATGATAGCTGACAATTCATTATCAGATGACTATACTTGTATTGAAATGAAGATCCAACATTTATATGTCACAAGCTAATAAAATCCGGGACCTGTGTATGTCACATACATTATCAGCTAGTGAGCACAGATCTGATGAGTGCCTCGGCCTAAGATACTATGCTGTGGGGGCTGGAATCCCTCTGTACCACAAAGCTGACAGGACCCAGAATGATTCAGTGCTAACTGTCTAGAACTGAAGATAAGGACATGTGGGAACAATTATTTAGAAATAGACCACATGGGAGGTGACCTAGTTAGATAACCAGTGGGAGAGCAGGGAAAATCAAGGCTTGAAGGATGCCATAAAGGAAAGATGTGTTCAGGGCGCCATTGCAGGAGCAGAAGTTTCCAAACACTTCTGATGAGGTGCAACAAAGGAGAGATAAACTTATTTCCCTTTTTAAGGTCCCTATCAACCAACCTTCCTTCCTTCCTCCCTTCCAATTCCTTCTTTCCCTTCCTCTCTCTCCTCCTTCCTTTCCTTTCCCCTTTACCTTCCTTCTTCCCCTTCCTTCCCTTCCATACTTCTTCATCCTTCACTTCCTCTCTCTCCCTCCCTTCCCTTCCCCTTTTACCTAACTTCTTCCCCTTCCATACCCCTTTCTTCCCTTCTTCCTCTCCCCCTCCCTTCTTCCCAACACTGCACCCTAAACTGGTTTCTAACTCAAGGTCCTCCTGCTTCAGCCTCCCTAGCACAGCCATTACAAGTGTGTCCTAAGCTACACACTAACAAAAATTCTTCATCAAGCAAACATACAGACGTTGAACTTATTGAACACTATTAATAAGATATTTGAGCTGAGAAAGAAGCAGGGTGATTCACTAAGATGCTCCCAATACAGTGCTTTAACTGAACATGTCTCCCCCGCTTCACTTTCTCCCTAGGATACAGGAATGTCACACAATAGTGTGGAAGGTCCTAGAGACTCCTGAGCCAAGCCAAGTATCTGCACTGTCCCTCCTTTCTCTGTTTAAGCTGCAGCCTCTGTCTGTGACACTGTATAACAGAGTGTATAAAGGAGGTTATGTAGACGTTATACTTCAGTTTGTGTTAACAGGGCAGGCAGAGTGGTAGAGTCTATGCTACATAGTACTAGATCTGGCAAAAAAGTTTATAAACATCGCTCCCCTGTTAATCTTCCTCTCTCTTTTTTTGGGGGGGAGGCAGTCCTGAGATTTCATACATGTCTACTAGGCAAGCAAGCACTCTACTGGAGCTATATATCTGAGTCAAGCAAGCATAGCTTAAAAGAAGGAGTAAATGTGTTCTACAAAAGTTCAGCAATACTGTTTTTTTTATAATTTTAATTTATTTTGTGTACATTGGTATTTTGCCATGGGTGTCAGGTCCCCTGGAACTGGACTAACAGATAGTTGCTAACTGCCATGTAGGTTCTGGGAATTGAACCCAGGTCCTCTGGAAAAGCAGTTAGTGCTCTTAACCACATCTCTCCAGCCCCAATTCTGTTTGATATAATAACAAAGTAGTGCCAGAATTAGAAATCAGCACATTAACTAGAAATCCTATTTACAATAGCTGTTAAAAATACCTCATGGCTGGGGCTGGACATCAATTGGTAGAGCATTTGCCTAGATTACACAGCTTTGATCCCAGCACCACATAAACCAGACAAGGTACACATGGCCTGTGATTCCAGCACTTGGAGAATCAGAAAGCTTAAAACCATTCTTAGCAACATACTGACTTCAAAAAAGCCTGGACAACATAGCATTATCAGAAAACAGAAATGAAGATAGAAGGAGGGAAGGAGGGAAGGAGGGAGGGAGGGAGGAAGGGAGGGAGGAAGGGGTGAGGGAGAGAAGGGAGAGAAGGGAGAGAAATGAGGATAAACTCAGGAAAGGAGTAAACTTAGCTCAATGAAAGTTACAGGTTGGGAAGTACTTCACTGGTCGAATGCTTGCCTAGGGTATACACTAGGCTGGGTTTAACTCCCAATGCAGCAAACAAAGAAAAAAGAAAAGTAAAAAGTGTTGAGAAAACAAATTTGGAAAGGAAACAAAAAATTGGAAAGGGCATCTCATGCTTTGGTTTAAAAATTCAGTATCATTAAAATGTCATGCTTCCCAAATCAAAGCAGATGCAATCCCTATCAAATATCTACAGCCTTCTCAGAGCTGGGAATGATAATTCAAACTCCAAGGATTGAACCCCCAAAGCTAACGAACCCCCAACAGCTTCATAAGCAAAAACAACCAAGTAGGAAGCAATACACAAGCAAATGCATGAAGATGAGGGGGTCTTGCACAGCCTTGGGCGTTAGCACGGCCACACCTGCAACTCTAGTGTCAAATGACCTGACACACACATGGCACACAGACACATATGAAGGAAAAACACTTATACACATAAAATAATAAATGAAACAACAACAACAAAATAAAACCCTGTGGGCCCGGTCCCCTTAAGCACACAGAAATTTTATATTTTCATAGACTTGGAAGGTAGCTCTATGCAGAAGGTGCTTGGCTTCTTGGCTTCAAAGAACGAAGACCACAGTTCAATCCCCAGAAACCATGAAAAAAGTGGTGAGTGTATAGCATGGACTTGTAATCTCAGCAAGGGGAAGTAGGGACAAAGAAGCACAGTGGTGATTCTAACCTAACTGGTGATTTCTAGGCCAATGAGAGACACCATCTCAAAGGAGGTATACAGTGCTAACAAACAGATGGACAAGGATGAGATAAGCTAACAACTCCAGTAGTCTTTGACAGGAAAGGCTCACCGCACAAGTGCAGAAGCAAAGTGTTAGGTAAAGGAAACCCCAGACAGGAACAAACAGTGGCGACAGTTGTGAAAATGAGATTAAAAGCAGAGAAGACACTAACAAGGGAGCCAACATGTCTCTCAGTACCCATTCATTAATAACTCAGTTTGAGGCTGACTGGGTCACACCTGTAGTGATACATTGTTTGTAAGCTAACAAATAAAGCTTGCCTGAGGATCAGAATGCAGCTAAGCCACTAGTTAGCCACACACCTAAGCCACCACTGTCTGTCCTCTATGGCTATTTGTTAGATTACAAGCAATGTAGCACTACACACCCCTGTGCTCAGTCCTGATCAGCAAGTGTGTTCATAACATGGCGGTGGAGGGAAGGAGGAAAATGGATAGATGATGGGAAAAACACGTTACAAGTGACATCTGAAAAACAGCTCAGAGACAGGGAGACGGAGTTACTGTTATTGTTATAAAGGACAGCTTAAAAAGGAAGATGAATCACATAAATTTTGCACATACAGGAGTTTGCTTCTCTAATAGAAAGCAAAGGATGAAAAGAAAGATGCATGAATGATGATACCAGGGGTTAGCAAAACAAGGGACAGCACAGACAAGAAATTTCA